CCCCGGGACTCCTGGAGGGCTCTCCAGGTCAGTTCTTCCCTCCTGGCGCTCACAGACCTGCTTCTGACAGGGACCTTGCAGGTGACAGTGGCTGTGGTTGGTGTTAGGGGCCTTCTCAGGGTCTTGCTGTTGGGTCCACGTGTCTGGGCCTCGAGGAGGGCCCCTGAGCCCCATAATTGTTGTGTGTTGTTCTCTGTGAAGAGGCCTGCACCCCGGGAAGTGGAGGAACAGCGCACCTGCCAAGTGTTCTGGAGGGCAGGGAGCCAGTGCCCCGACTCCTGGGGACTCCGAATGACCAGGGGTCAGTCAGTGGTGGGTGGATCCCTTGGCGAGGCTCCGAGGCCACCTGCTCACTGTTCGGGAATTTTCTGAGATGCGTTGCTCAGCTGCTGGAGGGGACCGCCGGCAAAAGCTTAGGGAGACGGGGCAAACGCCGGCGGGCTTCTTCCTCCTGGGAGCAGGTTTGCCCGGAGCCGCTCAGCCCCTGGCTTTGGGGAACCCTCTCCATTCTGGTTGTCTTGCTTTCTGCAGGTCATGTGACCCCAGCGACACTCGGTCTCTGCACCTGTGCAGTGGGGGGGGGGAGGGCGGCCACATAGATGCAGAGGGAGCTGTGGAGACTGAGTGAGATGAAGCCCCAAGGGGCCAGCGGTGGACCGGGTGTCCGGCGAGCACCAGTGAGTTTTAGGATGATGGCAGGACCCGCACCCCTAACCTCACTGCTTTCTCTTTGCAGGCGGCTGCCCTGAGCCGACGGCCTCAGACAGTGGTACGTGTGTGGACTGCCCTCGTTTTTGTATATAGGAGCAACGCAGGCCCCTCCCCCAGCGCTATCAGAGCATTTTAAAGAGCCAAGCCTGTGGTTCTGAAGTGTAATGAATCTGCCAATCAAATGCATCAGTCAAATCCGTCAATCAAATGCATCAGTCAAATCTAAGCTGCTTCTTAAGCAGCTAGAAATGGGACCAAATGGACAAGAAAGGACCTCCCCCTGCAGCCGGGCCTCCAGCTCGGCCTGGCTCCTGCAGAGCTGTCTCTTCCCTGCTCCCCCATCCCTCTTGCCACCACCAGCCCCCCCCCCAGGTGGCTCCCTGCACTGAGGCCCAGCCTTGCCCTCAGCATTCGCTTCTCATTCCGTGTCCCTGTCTCAGCCCCGGGCAGCACCTGCTGAGACTAGGCTGGGACGAGCCCTCCCCCCGGGCCCTGACTTTCTCCTGGTAAACCGAGGAGGCTCCCTCGTGGATGGCTTTGAAGGTCACGTGGGGCCTGACGTATCTGAAGGGCTCAGCAGCAGGCATTCTTCAAGCCTCCTCCTGCCAGATTGGGCATCTGCTATATTCCAAGTGGAGGGTCTAGACTTCTTTTAAAAAGCAGGAAAATATTTCCCCAATGTGCCCTAAGGAAGGTGGCAAACCCTTGGCAAGGCTAGCTTTCCTGCTCCCATTTCACAGATGTGGAAGCTGAGACCCAGAGCGGCCAGGCTGGCTTGTCACTAGTGAGCAGTTGAGCCCAGTCAGGGTCACGAGCCTTCTCTGAACCTCCCACCGGCCCAGGTTTCCTCCGAGGTAGCCCTTGTCCCCGTCTCTCCCCAGCCAGACTTCAGGACCCCCTCCCCGTGGGCCCTGGCCCTGTGGTCAGCTTGGGCACAGCAGACCTTCAGTAAGTGTGTGGCAGATGGCAGTGTGGGTCCTCCTGGGTCCTTGTGGGAGGGAGTGACCTGTGACCCCTCCTCCCCAGCCAGGTGCGTGGACCTGCAGCTCAGGACCTGCAGTGACGCCGCCTACAACCAGACTGCCTTCCCCACGCCGCTGGAGCACCGGTCCCGGGAGGCCGTGGAGTCCAGCTCGGAGTACATCCTGCTGAGCGTCCTGCACCACCTCCTGGAGGGCCAGTGCAACCCTGACCTGCGGCTGCTGGGCTGCGCCGTGCTGGCCCCGCGCTGCG